TTGAATATCCAAGTTATACAATTTACTTAAAACATACAAGGATGAAAAAGAAAAAAAACAGAATATATAAAAATTCTTGAGACCACACAGACAGAAGTTTGTCCAACAAAGATGCTAATGGAGTTTTACATCTTATGAAAGTCAGAGTAATATACAGACCACTGGGTTTGGGTAGTTGCTGCATTTCAGAGTTGAAATCAATAGAAGAAAGGGGGAAGGAGAGACATGAAGAATGAGACAAGAGTCTGCATAGTGCTTCTTCCTTCCAAGCACCTTCACACTTCTTGAACATGAGCACAGCTAGGCTGGCTGAAAAGGTGGTGACTAACTTTGAAGTCACAAGACAGACTATTGTATTAAAGCAGGATGGGGAGTGCAGTGCAGCAAAGCCCTGGAGTCCCATCTGCCCTCTGAAAGCTCAATCCCAGGCCTTGTGTACTTTTGGTCTCAATTGCCTCAAATAATCAATTTCTTATGTATCCTAATATATTATAAAAGGGAATGACAAAACTGATTAAGGTCGTAGCAGAATTCCACCTGGTTGCAAATCACAGAAAGCCCAGCTCACACTAGGTAAATAGTAAAGTGAATTATTTTTCCTCAGAACTATAAGTCCAGAGGTCTTAACTCATGACTATGATTCAATGGCTCAATAATATCAGGAATCCAATTTCTTTCTGTTTCTGAACCTTGCCTTTGAATAGGATCAGCTTTCTTTGAAAGCTGGTTCCCAGTTTTTTTTACAAGGTGTTTGCCAGTTACTTCCTGGGTCACAGGATTACTTGTCTACATATAAAAAGAGAGAAAAGCAGTAATTTTCCAGACACTTTCTCAGAAGAATGGAGGCTCTTCCTTTGCAGTTGCCTTTCACAATACAAACACACCAACCCCCAACCCTTACATATAGCTCCACCAGGATACAGTTGGCTTTCACATCTGTGGGTTCTGCCTCTGTGAATTCAACCAGCCACAGACAGAAAATTGCTTCTGACCTTAACATGAACAGATTTTTCCATGTCACAACTATTTACATAGTTAAGAATCATCATGTTCGGTCTAATAATTGATCTAGAGAAATTGTACTCGAAGTATAGGAAGGTTGTGCACAGATTATATGCAAACATTATGCCATTTTATATAAAGGACGTGAGCATCCATGATTTTGGTATCTGAGGAACTCTTGTAACCAATTTGCAAATAGTTTTCTACCTATATGTTGACCAATGACTATGGTCAACAAAAATAAATAGATTTAGTTAGTTCTGAGATATAGGCCTCTCTCTAACTCAAAGAGAGTCATCTTCTCCCAGAGTATTGATGGAGATATCCAATAAAACATAAAGATTTGCAAGATGAAAAGCCTTGAAAGTTGGTGAAGGCACTACAGCATATACTGCAAAGGGCTTTTGTAAGCTTCCTCATTTGCTGCTATAGTTCTAACAGCTGGATTCAAAGCTCTTTCCTAGTGATACAAAACTTTGATGGGCTGCAGTCATATTTTTCAACATTTATTGTTTATAACAATCACCTGAAGAGCTTTTTAAAAATGCAGAAGCCTGGGCTTCCACCCAAAATTTAAGCAAGTACATCTATAGCATTTTAATAAACACCCAGGGAGATTCTTTTGGGGAGATGGGAGAGCTATATTTAGTTAAGTCCTATGCATCAGTTACATGTCTTTGCTCTCTCTTTCCCTCCATTGTAGAAATTTCAGTACATCCTTCTAAATGCTGAGTTTGTACAGCACAACACTTATTTGTTTAGATTGTTTATTTTTGTTTTGCTTGGTACCTGTGCTTTAGTTGCCTGAGTTAAAGGAAGTCCCAGTTGTGTAGACTCAGGTTTTTTTTTTTTCTTTTAATTGTTGATTTCATGACTTCTAAGCAGCAAATAGGAAGAGTTAAGAATCATTTGGGTAGTAAGACGATATCCTCTGTGATTCTTGTTTCACTGAAATGTCATTATATGGGCCACTAGTGCCCACTTTGAGGTTTAATGTTACTCTGGGGCTCTAGTTGCCACCTGTTAATTGTTCGTGATGTTTTCATTCAGTATTATAGTTTACTGTCTTTGCCACACAGTTAAAGCTGTGAATTAATACCACTAATAACCCTTGGGAATGTATGTAGTTTTGAGACTGTGTGCATAATTTAATAGTATAAATAGTGGTAGTTAGTGACATGTTCATATTATAAGGAAGCATTATTAAGGAGATGCTATACAAAAATAGGACTCTGAAAACTTGTGTACTTGCTGACTCTAATCTTGTTAATTTGTTACAAAGATGCTTTCCAGTATTGCAAGCTCAACCATGACTTAGAAAACTTCATGCTCTATAGGCTTTGGATTTAAAAGGATCTGATTGCTATAACTTCTATATGTTTATAATTGCCCTTATTTTGGGCTTGCTATCTCCTATCTAAGTATTCTTGCTTATATATCCATAGTGAATAGTAAAGTCTTGGCATTTGTTACCTTCATTCCTTAGCTATTGTTTCCTGAGGGTGCTTTATTAATCAGTAGTCAGGATCTCACCTGCCTAGTTCTATATCTGAATTGTAAGAAATCTGGAGGAGTTTCCAAATATCTTTATTACTTGAAGAGAGTTCTTTCCTCAAGCCCTCCATCAGATTTTTGTTCTTTTGCTTATTTTCTCTTTCTTTTTTCCTGTATGTGTTTATCAAACTAACATTATCAGGGGCTATGGTTGTAGCTCAGTGGTAGAGCGCTTGCCTTGCATGTGTAAGGCACTGATACTCAGCACCACATTAAAAATAATAATAATAAATGTATTGTGTCCATCTACAACTAAAAAAATTTAAAAACACAACATAACAACAACAAAAAAAACCTAACATTATCAGGGATTTGGCCAGTTTCCATTTCCACTTGTAAATAGCAGTACCCAAATCCAAATAAACTCTTTGTCATTTAGATTTCCCTGTTTAAGCATTCACAGAATCAGCACTGTTTTGGTGAGTTAGGCAAAATGGTAAGAGTTTGATTTTAAAGTCAAACTGACATAATCTCGAATTCATTTTGACTGTTGACAAAGTTTTTGGTCACTCAAACTTTGTAACTTCCTGTATCAATTTGTGTCCCGTTGGTCATTGGTTGCTTTGTGAAATACATGAGTTCAAATTTTACAGTGATCAATCGTAACTGTAAGTTTATTAATTTTTTCCATTTTGAATCTCCAGACTTTTATAATGACCCATCTATTTCAGCACTTCTGCAAGCCTCTTTGGTATTTTCCTAAAAGGGAATTCCTGGAAGCTACCAATGACTTTCCTCTTTGAACATGTTATGATATATTTTGGACACGATAAAGCAGCAAAGAGCTTTTTAAATATTTATGTTCTCCACACCATGTATGCCAACTGTGTTTGCTCTCTTCATTTCTTTATGTGCCAAGGAGACAAGCCAAACAGTGTGAGAGGAAAATACTGTCAGGACACAAAGTAAGTTTGTCTAGTGTGTGCTCTGTGCAGATGTAACCTTAACGGAAAAGACTGGAGACCGCTCCCTGGCTGCACAGGGATGCCTTGATTAACAAATAAGCTGGGAACAAAGTTCCTTTGTAAGCAAGTCAGCTAACCGATTTTTATTTTAAAACTTCATGAATCAAGTGAAATAGGACTGGCTCATATCATGTAATTCAGCAGTAATATTCCGGGAAACTGTGCTTGAGTACAGAGCAGAAAGCCTTCCTCCTGGAGGATGGGTGGAAGTGGAAAGGTGAATAGGTGGATTTTAGGCAAAACTGCAAAGTTAAACTGTGTTTTTCACTCTAGCAATTGCCTTGCACCATCTCACACGTACATGCAGTGGAAGGTTATTGCCCTTGGAGTCCTGCTGCTCTCAAACATCTCTAGTTTGAAAACTGGAACCCAAATGATTCACTATTTAATGAGTTAGTTAATTTTACCTTATGTTGATATTATCTAGTAATGTCTCAATCTTGGTTACAAATTGGTACCATTTAAAGAGATTCAGACTTAATTAGTTTGAGGTAGACAACAGAATTTGGCATTCTGTCAACACAAGGGCTGTGAAACACTACTCTAGGATAAATTGTATGCTCACATTGTGGCCTCTGCTTTTCTAATATCCATATTTATCTGTGTGTGGGGGGCTGCAGAACACATAAGTGAAAACCACCTGGGGTCAACCTTTAAAATGTAATGTTCCTGTGTCCTTATCATGGAATCATCCTCACTGAATCTTAAAGTATGTGGTGTGTGTGTGTGTGAGTTCTTTTTTTTTTTTTTTTTTTTGGTGGGGGAGGGTTGGGGAGAAGAACAAAAGAGGATACAGAGGAGAAAGAGAAAAGAAGAGTATGTGTGCTAGAATCTGCATATTTAACAAAAACCAAAGTGATTTTGACTCTCTCTCAGATAATACCTAATTTTTTGACCATTGACAATGTCTTTTAATTCCTCTTTGCTAATAAAAAAAATTAATGATGGGCTGGGAAAGTGGCTCAAGTGGTAATGCACTCGCCTGGCATGCGCAGGGTGCTGGGTTCGATCCTCAGCATCACATAAAAATAAAATAAAGATGTTGTGTCCACCAAAAACTGAAAAATAAATATTAAAAAAATTCTCTCTCTCTCTCAAAACAAAAAATGGATGGTTGGGGGTATCACATACAATGTATATTTTAAACAACATTGTTTATGATTATATATGTATATTAACTAACATCAGTCTTGTTTTCAAAGAAAAATGAAAATAAATTTCAGACAACACAGTGGTCTTTTCTAATAAATATGTATATTAAAGAATAAGTGTGTATACATTTTAATTTGATATAGATACTCAGGAATCTGTCCTTAAATAATGAATGATTTATAATGTATGCAAAAAATTATAAGTCAGGGGATTATTTTTGAATATGTGAAACATATTTATGTTCAATCTCTTTTTCTCTCTTCCCCTTTTTTCCCTTACCTCAATCCTCTACCTGCCCCAACTTCACCTCTTTTCCTGTTAACATAGCATCAGATGAAGAAGAGCCAACTTCAGCAGGTAAAGTTCTTATGTTACAAATTAAAGGCCATTTTTTAATTTAATGACTTCAATAATATATACTTCAACCAAAATGGGCAAAGCCTATTTACTTTTTTGTGTCTTGGACCCAGTATGCTGTGCCAGACAGAATGATGTTGATTAAGACTTCTGAATAAAAAGAAACAGATAAAAAAATTAAATAATACAAAAAATAAATAAAAATGGCACATCATCATTAAAGAATGAGAAAAATTGGAAAATGAAAACATTGAGATAAAACAGAAAAATAATATGAGGATGATAAAAATATCAAAAAAGGAAAAATGATAAAGTAAACATCCAGAAATGTAACTATCTATGATAGAATACTGCTATAGCAACTATGAGACCAGTGTTAGGTATATATTCAGGTTTAAAAATAAAAAAGTTTTTCTTTCCTCAAATACTCATTTAAAATTTTAATTTTTAAAATTATAATTTAAATTGAGAATTTTTGCATCCATGTTCATTAGAGATCTTGGTCTGAAGTTTTATTTCTAAGATATATCTTTGCCTGGTTTTGGAATCAGGGTGATATTGGCCTAATAGAATGAGTTTGAAAGTGTTCCCTCTTTTTCTATTTCATGAAATAATTTGAGGAGTATTGGTTTTATTTTTTCTTTAAAGGTCATATAGAACTCAGCTGTGTATCCATTTGGTCCTGGACTTTTCTTGGTTGGTAGGCTTCTGATGGTGTCTTCTTATATCCTTGCTTGAACTTGATCTATTTAAATTGTGTATATCATCCTAATTCAGTATGGGCAAATCATATGACTCTAGAAATTTGTCAATGCTTTCAGTATTTTTCTATTTTATTAGAGTACAAATTTTCAGAATAGTTTCTAATTATCTTCTATATTTCTGTATTGTCTGTTGTGATGTTTTCTTTTTCATTGTGGATGTTAGTAATTTGAGTTTGCTTTCTCCTTTTTTTTTATTGGTTGTTCAAAACATTACAAAGCTCATGACATATCATCTTTCGTACATTTGATTCAAGTGGGTTATGAACTCCCATTTTTACCCCAAATACAAATTGCAGAATCACATTGGTTACACATTCACATTTTTACATAATGCCATATTAGTGACTGTTGTATTCTGCTACCTTTCCTATCCCCTACTATCCCCCCTCCCCTCCCCTCCCATCTTCCCTCTCTACCTCATCTGCTGTTGTTCAATTCTCTCCCTTGTTTCTTCCCCCCCTTTCCCCTCAAAACCTCTTATATGTAATTTTGTGTAACATTTAGAGGCTTTCTCCTTTTTTTTGTTAGCATGGCTATAGGTTTATCCACTTTATTATTTTTTTAAAGAACCAACTTTTTTGTTTTGTCAATTTTTTCAATTGTTTCTTTTGTTTCAATTTCATGGATTTCAGCTCTAATTTTAAATAATTCCTGTCTTCTACTGCTTTTGGCTCTTAAAATTTTTTTCTAGGGCTTTGAGATATAATGTTAGTTCATTTATTTGTTGACTTTTTCTTCTTTTAAGGAATGAATTCCATGCAATGAGTTTTCCTCTTAGTACTGCCTTCATAGTGTCCCAGAGATTTTGAAATGTTGTATCAGTGTTCTAATTTATCTCTAAGAATTTTTTTAATCTGTTCTTTAATGTCTTTTGCAACCCATTGCTCATTCAATAGCATATTATTTAGTCTCCAGGTGTTGAAGTAGTTTTTATTTTTTTATTTTATCATTGATTTCTAATTTCATTCCATTATGATCTTATAGAATGCAGGGTAGTATCTAATTTTTTGTATTTGCTAAGAATTGCTTTGTGGCATAATATATGGTCTATTTTAGAGAAGTGTTCCTGATGATAAAGTGTGGTCACTTGTTGATGGATGAAATATTGTATGCATGTCAGTTAAGTCTATTATTGATTGTTTTATTGAATTCTATAGTGTCTTTAGATTAGATAATAGCTAATAGTATCTTTAGGTTATAGCTAATCTATCAGCTTTTGTTTGGAAGTTCTATCCAGTGGTGACAGAGGTGTGTAAAGTCACTCAGAATTATTGTGTTGTGGTCTATTTGACTCTTGAACTTGACAAGTTTTTGTTTTATGACTGTAGATGCTCCATTGTTTGGGACATATATATTTATAATTGTTATGTCTTGTTGATGTATGGGTTCCCTCCAGCAGTATGAAATGTCCCTCTTTATCCCTTTTGATTAATTTTGGTTTGAAGTCTACTTTATCTGATATGAGGATGGAAATCCCTGCTTGCTTCCACAGTCCATGTGAGTGGTATGATATTTCCCAACATCTCCTATGGATGTCTTTTCCTATGAGATTAGTCTCTTGGAGGCAGCCTGTTGTTGGTTATATTTTTAAATCCAATCTGCCAGTCTATCTCTTTTGATTGGTAAGTTTAGACCATTAACATTCAGGGTTATTATTGAAGCATGATTTTTATCCAGCCATTCTTGTTTACTTTTGGTTTTTAACTGACTTGGTTCATCCTTTGATTAGTTTTTCCTTTAGTACAATACCTCCCTCTGCTGATTTTCATTGTTGTTTTTCATTTCCTTCTCATAGAATATTTTGCTGAGGATGTTCTGTAGTGCCAGCTTTCTAAGCTGTATATTCTTTTACTTTTTGTTTATCATGGAAGGTTTTTATTTCATCATCAAATCTAAAGCTTAATTTTGTTGGATATAAGATTCTTGATTTGCATCCATTTTCTTTCCAAAGCTTGGTATATGTTGTTCCACTATCTTCTAGCTTTCAGGGTCTGGGCTGAAAAATCTGCAGATATCCTAATTGTTTTCCCCTATATGTAATCTGATTCCTTTCTCTCATGGCTTTTAAGATTCTCTCCTTACTCTGTATGCTAGGCTTTTTCATTATAATGTGCCTTGGTGTGAATCTGTTGTGATTTTGTGCATTTGGTGTCTTGTAAGCCTCTTGTATTTGGTTTTCCAATTCATTCATCATGTTTGGAAATTTTTTTCTGATATTATTTCATTGAATAGATTGGTCATTCCTTTGGTTGGAACTCTATGCCTTCCTCTATCCCAATAACTCTTAAATTTGGTCTTTTTATGTTATCCCGTATTTCGTGAATGTTCTGCTCATGATTTTCTTACTATCTTCACTGTGTGATCTACATTCTTTTTGAGATTATAAAATATGCTTTCATTGTCTGATGTTTTATCTTCCAAGTTGTCTAATCTGTTGGTGGTGTTTTCTATTGAGCTTTTAATTTGGTTTATTGTTTTTTTCATTTCAAAGATTTCTGTTTGTTTGTTTTTCAGACCCTTCATCTCATTATTGAAGTAATCATTGGCTTCCTGTATTTGCTTATGTAGCTCTTTATCGAAATGATCTTTTGTTGCCTGTATTTGTTCTCTTCCTTTAATTCACAGAACATTTTAATTGTGTGCATCCTGAACTCCTGTGTCATTTCTTCTGTTGTGCTAACCATGGATTCTAATAATGTAGTATCTTGATTTGTTTGAGGAACCTTTTTCCCTTGTTTGTTCATGCTGTTCATGTGTCTTTCCTTCTAGCACTGAGGATATGCAGCATTACTGTTTTTTATGCTTTAGACTTATAGTGTCCCTGCATGGTTGGGGACACTATACTAGCCAGCTAGTATTCCAAGCTGGGAATTGCCACAACTAAAGATGGTGACGATGGTGTCCCAAGATGGAGGCAGCTGCTTTCAGCGATGGAGTGATAGGGGGATGGTGTTGTGCAGTGTGTTCAAAGATGCAGCTCAGACCCAGTGCAGGCTCCATGGGTATTGGCTGGGCCGACTGGGCCTGCTCTTGCTCCACACTGAGATTCATATTTTTAAAACAGCATAGTAAATAACTGTACCTCTGAATGAAGTCACCTTTGGAACTCATATATTGAATCTAATTATATTGGTAAAATTCAAATAATTTTTGGAAACTTTCTTTTAGAATTTCCTTCAAAATTTGTATATTGACTTTACAAGATCAATTATTCCTGTGCTAGTATATTCATCAGACCTTGGCCTAATAACTATGCCTTCAAAAACAAAGATTTGCAAGAAAGAGAGAGAGCAAAAGAGAGGGAGAGGGAGAGAGAGAGAGAGAGAGAGAGAAGGGAGAAATATTTTCATGTGAAATGCTAGATTTGCAAGTTTGACATTAACAACTTTCACTTGAATATCTGATCTTCATTTTTTGAAAGTGATCATATTAAGTTTAAATTTCAGCAAATAACATTCTTCCATAAAGCTATATCAGTGGCTGCTTCTAAGCAGCACAAATACAATTTTTATTTGTCTTTTATTTCATTTTCCAAAACTTATTCTATGTTCTTTAAGAAATCAAGTCATTTATATTAGAAAATTGATTGATAAAAATAAAATAATCTATATAAAATATAATTTATTAACTATAAGGTATACTAAATGAAGCTTATTCCCAATTAAATTTTCTCAATGTTCTTAACTTCTATGGTTTTATTAGTTTTACATCTTGAGAAATGTCATTTATTTATCAAATTGAGAAAATTATTATGACATTTAGAATAGGGCCAGAACAAGAAAATATTATTAAATGAAACCAAAATCAGTCTGAAAATGACACAGTGTAGATCTTGTCAATATACAGTGTCTATAGTTAAAATAAACCACAATTTAGTTGTTTATATCACCTCAAATTAAAAAAAAGAAAACAACTATTTTTTTTTATTCTTATCTCTTGCTTGAGGGAAATTTTTAGTTAGTTGGTCTTTTTTTTTTTTTATATTAGGCAAGGGACTGAGTTTCAGTTTCCATAAAAAGTAGTAACTATTAATACTGGATTAACTTTTATAACAATGAGAATTATGTATGGAGAAAATGGAATCTTTCAGACATATGTAAAAGTTAAAATCTTTTATGTTCTATGTTGTTTATACCTAACTATGTTTTATATATATATATATATATATATATATATATATATATATATATATAT